AGATAGATAGATAGATAGATAGATAGATAGATAGATAGATAGATAGATAGATAGATAGTCATTCACATGAACTGCACATTAAATACGTTGAGATTCCTGCTTAAAAAAATGACCAAATCTGGTAAATTTCAGGGATCTTTGTATTGTACCTTAACTGACACGAGGTAATATGTGTGTGACTGATTATTAAAGCACTTTTTACACATTTAGCTGTCTTTTCCTTTCATCTTTATGGACATGTGATCCTCGCTGCCTTTATTTCAAACATTCAGGCATTTACTCTCATTCCTGATGGAGTTTCGCAGCAGGGCTTTGGATGTCTCGCTGTGAGAGATTGACAGAGTGATTAGCGTGGTAATTACCAGTCACGTATAAAAGAACAAAAACAACCAATGTAATAAGCAGTGGGAAGCAGAGCTTAGTTATAATAGAGGAGGAAATAGTTGCTGAATGTCTAAAGAGGAAGATGGAATAAATCCATCATATGGACCAACAGCAACAATTAAGTGGATTAAACAAGGAAATAATAATTTAAAAAAAAGCCTAGTTGGAAGGTCTTTTCCCAGTGAAAGATGCCTGAAGGCTCTACTGCACGTTCTATATTTGGAAACCACAAGAAGAGCTTGACCCTGACTGCCCAGTTCAAGCGCTGTTTACTGCGCTCTGGGTGAGGTGGAGTTTTCTGGAAGCACGGTGAATTAAAGACATAAAAATCAACAAGAATTTAGTAAAAAAAAAAAAAAGCTTTTTTTTGTGAAAAGCCTTCCTCCCTGTGGTTCCTGTCAGAACATTAATTTACTGTACAATATGTTAAGAGCTGAGCTAATAGATGCAAACAGTCAAAATGAATTAAAACTTGAGTACAATCTTTTAAAACAAGTGTTTTTACATAGAGGTGAGTAAAATTATATAACAATTAAATAAGATTAATGCAATTAAAATCAGGGGGAAAATATTCTAATTTTCTTATTTCAAATGCAGTATTAAATATGTATTATTTTAGTGGTCAAACAAATTGTTTGAAATTTTTATTTTTACTTTAAGATCATACGAATAATGTACTAAACACTTTAAAAATCAATTTAATGAAGTCTTACAATTTACCTGTGATCTTGTGTTTAGAGGAAATTCTGTTAAATTATTAATCTTCTTTGAAGCAGATTTTGCTTAAAACAAGTGCAGTAATCTGCCATGTAAGACTTCTTGTTTTTAGGATATTTATATCATGATTTAAATAAATCTTATCAAATGCAGCACCGGCAGATTATTGCTCTTATTTTAAGCAGAGTTTTCTCAAAATAAGATAAATACCTCAAAAGAAGACAGAATCTGCTCTTGCTCACCTTATTAATCTCATCTTTAATCTCAACCCTAAGATCAAAAACTGGGCAGATTGTTTGTGGTGCGGTGTGTGTTATTTTTACTTCCTTTTGTTTGTAACATAAATCTACAAGAAACATTATTTTTTACTTCAGTGCAAACATTTTAAAATGCTTTCAAAACCCTTTCATGGCTGCCAAGATAATTACAACCACTCTTAAATTGTTGTCACAAATGCAGCTCTCTAGAATAATGATTATATAGCGTCCTCAAAGTTTTATGAGGCCGCTGGTCAATTTAATTTAATTGAATTCACTTTATTTATATACAGCCACTTAAAGAGACAATTCAACCAGATCAGCCAGTCAAATTGAGTCAAAGTTTTCTATCCAAGGAAAATCAGTTAATTGCAAAGCAATCCCTCACACCAAGCATGCTTTTAGCGACAGTCAAAAGGAAAAGCTCCATTTTAACATAAATAAACCTCCAGCAGAACCAGACTCAGTGTAAGCGGCCATCTGCCGAGGCCAACTGGGGTTCAACGAGACAGAAGCAGACATACAGAAAGAAGCAAAGATACAAAAGCTATTTTTCTTTAAACGTTACGAGCCTTATTTGCCATCCGGTATGTCTGGTGGAAACCTAACAGCATGAACACAAACTAAAGACACTTTCACTGTGGAAAAAGTTTTAATAACCTGCTGAGGGGATGCTTTTCCTCAGCAGGGAAGGAGAAATTGGTCTGAGATGATTGACCTAAATGCAAGGTTAACTAGAAGCAAACCTCTAGACGTCAAACCTGAGTAAAGGTTAACCCTCCTGCCAAACGTGAACCATAAACTTAAATGCAGAACTACATTAGGATGCCTTGGATCAAAGATTTTTTTTTTTATTCCAAAAATGACTCAGAAATAATCCTCCTGAGGATATGTGGCATCTTTCTTATTTTTATCTGCTCTATATCTGCTCTATTTTATCTGCTCTATAAGTAAAAAAAAAGACCAATATTGAAGTGTTTTAGAAGTTAAGGCAAGCAGATACTCTAAAGACTCTTCTGAGACTTTGAGGAGCTAAAAGAAAATCCACAACACACTTTTCAGTTTTTAATTTAAAATAAAAAAAAGGGGAAAGGACATTTCTTTTCACTTCTTCACTACTTTGTGTTTATCTGTCATCCTACAATTTGGATATAAAATAATAAAATGGTATAGATGCAATCTATAAAGATTGCTTTATAAAAATCTGTGTTCTTTGTCATAATCTGGATGTAATCCTGTGGAGTCTGTAATGATATGTCTTAGATGATTCTCTAAACTGGAGCAGAATCGAGGTTAATCATACCCTGTGCAGGTCCAGTGAGGTCTGACTAACAGTCAACATTGGCACCAACCTCACAAGGAGGACATGACCACAGCTAAGCTACTTTATCACTATCTAGGCCAAACATAGAGGTTTTATAAAAAAATTTTAAAATATTTATATGTTTTCCTAAACCCCTAATTTATTTTAAACACTTTATACATTTAAATTATGGAATTAAACATGTTTTTTGCACCTTTTGCATGAAAATTAGGAGACCTTGTAAAGCATATAGCAGACTTTTACATTTAACTCCATTTGCCGGCTGACCCTTTTCTGCTCTGTGCCGACTGAATAAAACATTTAAATAAAATTGCTGTAAATGCATGACACCATGTGCCCCATTTTCTTCCTACAGGTCACTGTGTCACCTTTTGCTGCCCCTATCCCAAAGATGTTAAAACCTCCTCTACTAATTAGATTAGGGAAAGAGCTTGGTATTAAAACTTTGCAGAGGAGCAACAATGTTAAGTAGGTCTTAATACTAATACTAGAACTTCTCACCTCTTGTGAGTTTTTCTCATGTATTTGGCCTCAGACGTCATATGATCAATCAGAATAAGGTCAATATAAGCACAGGTATGATTCCTTTATCCGATTAAATTGATTTCTAATAAACGTGTCAATGTAGGAGGCCTGTGCAATGCAGGGGAGACCATTACAATGTTGCCTGGGATGTGATTAAACAATATATTTGCATGCTAATTGATTGTCTATATTGAAAATACCACCTGGTTTAATCACCATGATGTGGCACAAGTTATTTTATTTATTTTAAGTACCAATCTTAACAATTAAGAATCAACAAAAGCATTATTTCTGTTAAAAATCTTACAACATCAGATTAAAAAATACTTTTTTTTAAAGATATGAGTTCAGCAGCTCCATGAATATTTGTGAAAAATAGCTTTGGGATATTTAAAACTTTTCAGACAGTTTA